CTGTACCAGTGTACCTGCACATGTGATGTGACAATAAAAGTGATTTGATTGATTTGATAATCAGACATGTCAAGCAGGTCACTGAACACAATCAACACTTACCCAGTGCCACTTGGCACTTAGTGGCATCTCCAACTTTGGCGACCGGGTACACACTGACTGCAATTCTGTGCAAGTTGAAGCAAAGGTAAACAAACCCATAAAAACTGACGAGAACATTTATGTCCTTACACAAAGTGGAAGATTATGTGGCAAGCAGGTGCTACCTTACATCAACCTGAAAAAGTCCACAGCCACAGGTTCTTTAGGAAAATGTAAAGTCAGCCGTAAATAAGAAAAAACATTAAATAATTATAAGCCTCTAAAATTTCACATAATTTTTTTCAGATCCAGCAGCTAAGAGAGCATTTGACACTCCCTGAGCTCATCTCCCGCACAAGAATGCTACTTTATGACATTTTCTAACTCCACTGTGCAGTTTATGCCACTGCATTTAAAATGGCATTACAGTATATGTAAAGGTGCTTCGATACATCAGTGTTATTCTTTGGCATTTTGACCACTTAAAGAATTATTTGTTTTATTCAGAGAGTTTCACTTAATTTACAGATATTACATCATTAAAAAGAAATAGAGCAATATTTTAAAACACCGTCCAGCATTTGATATCAACAAACATGTGGCTAATCCCCGATCTAAAAGCTGAGCTATCAGGGAGCTCTAGGCTGTTTTTTTCAGTGAGTTTATTTCTACTGTTCCACCTGGGTGGTTTTAAGAGCATGGATTGGGTGTTCTCCAGCAGCTTTGACTCAGAGTACAATGCACTTCAGTCACATTTTGATAGTTTAATTTAAAATCCACTGGACCTAAGTGTAATTCAGTGTATTTTCCCCCAGATTTTCCAGTCATCTAAAGAAGGGCATCGCGTGCATAACGAATTCCTCATGAGATTTTTGTTGGTAGCTTTCTGCATAAGTTAGATACCAGCACATGCAGAAAATACATCCTTTCATCTGTGCTAAAAAGCACTTCTAGTGACAAAGTTTTGTCATGTTTTCCCA